TGCGCGCCACGTCTGGCCCTGTCCAGGTGACGCTTGACGAATTTCTCAAGTTGTTTCTTGACTTGAAATCGTTCTAATTCAATTTTCTCCAATTCACTTATATTTGATGTATCCACATCATATATACAAGTATATTACCTAGGGGTGTCAAAAATAGACCCAAACATATGTAACCCACACAACCTCCCTGAATTTTAAGGTTGGGCTCAAGATAATTTGAATTTGTTCAATCTCAACCCATTCAAACCTAACTCATATTAAGAGAGTTCTCAGTTGAGCCCAATTCAATATCCAATTTCAACTTGTTTTAAAATTCTCTATTTAGTTATGTTCCTATATTAAAATATATGAATTATCATCTATTCAACATCTTTTAGGATTTATCTATTAATTTGTCACTTTATTTTCAAAAAAAATATTAAGCCGAAATTCACATTGTGATAATAAAAGTTAAATATCACTTTGTTAAAGCTATTGAGATTAATCGGATCAAATTGGGCGTGTTAAGACCCACCCCGTTTTTGCCCATTTGAACCCAACTCATTTGAGCCCAAATTACACTTGGGCGGGTCAACACCCAAACAGATTTCTATTCAACCAATTTAATATCTTTAATTTCATCCTAACCCGCCCATTTGACACCCTTAATATAACCTAATGATTTCAAGAACAACACCTAAATCATCAATGAACTCCTAAATCTCAACTCATGTCCAAGAACAAAAACAATTCAAGAACCACATACAAGAACATTAAAAATCCAATCTTGTAAAGATGAAATCACACTAAATAAAACATGCCTTGCACGTGGGTGAACAAACCAAACGTTGAGATAGACTCACAAACCTTTTTAGGATCACCCCCGACGAAATCCACAAGTTAACTTCGACGATCTTGGCAAATCTTGAACACCTTTCTCCTTTATCCTCTTTTCTTAAAACCCTAAATTTTTTTGTAAAAGTGTAAAAAAAATGATCCATTTCAACTTAGATGCCTAACTAAATTACCAAAAATGAAATAAATTCATAGGGTAGGGAAAAGGCCAAACCACCCCTTAAAAATCAGGATATGGACAATTTCCTTAATCCGACAGCCCAAATTTCAGAAGGCATAACTCGCTCATACGAAGAGAAAACCGCGCGAACTTGGCGCTGTTGGAAAGATTGTTCCAAGGAATTTCCAACCGTATCTGCAACTACACCTAACTCATCCTAGCTAACGTTTGGTCATAGATTTCCAAATATTCTTAGCTATTTCAAATTGTGAGATGTTAAAGTGAGTCTCTTTGCTTCCGGAGTATTTCATTTACCTTAATATTAGTTGTTAGAATGTCGTGGGTCTTCTCTTGACTTTAATCATTGTCATTTAGATGCTTCATAGATATACATTAGAGTTTCAGAATTCTTCGTTTATTTTGTTGAATGTTTTAAAGACTTGAGTTTCCCATTTTATGGCGAGTTGAATATATTATTTTTATTTAGAGTTGTTCATTTGAGTCAAAGTTTTGTAAAGTTGAGTTTATTGAATTTTATTTCAGTTTTAAGCTTTTGCATGTTTAATTTAGTCTTCCACTTGTAGTAGGGCTGGCAGGGGGATCGGGTCATCCCGCCACGGCCCGCATCCCGTCCCGACCCGGCCCGCATCCGGCCCATCCCCCAGGGTTTAAGGGGATTACGGGATTGGGGTTGAGGGGACCGGTCAGGGGCCGGTTCACCCTTGCGTCCCGGTCGACCCGGCCCGGTCCCGGCCCGGTTGAATCGGCCGGTTCGCTGGATCCCCGCCCAACGGATTTATGCCTCTTTATAACTTCCCAAACACCCCCTACCACCCTCTACCACCCCCCTACTTTTAAAAAATTATTTTAAACCCTCAAGTTATTATAATTACATTTTAACCCATTTTTAATACTATAAATACACCTATCCTCTACTATTTCTTACAAAATCATCTATTCTCATTTCTCTCATATATTTTCTATATTCTATCAACTCTCAACTCTCAAGTGTCAATCTTAATATCTATTCAATTTTAATTCTCATATTATTAGAATCCATATATTTCAATTTTCAATTCCAAATTTTCATATTATATCAATAAATATAATTATATTATCTCATATTTGTTATCAAGTATTGGCTTGGAGTTAGAAATTACAAGTTACAACAAATCACAAGCTTCAACAATCGGTTTAACGTCTGCTATTAACGCAAATGTTTGGTACATTCGTTTCATAATATTTATATTTTATTATTCGTCTTTACTTTTGTGTTATTATTATTTTTATATTACACTTTATATATATATATATATATATATATATATATATATATATATATATATATGTATATATGTATATATATAAAAAAAATTAAGTATGAGTTCTAGCAAAAAAAATAGCGGTAAAGGAAAAGAGAAAGCACAATATAACGAAGAAAGTAGACTTTTTAAATTATTTAATTTTGGTAAAAAAAAGTAATGAAAAAAGAGTAGTAAAAGTGGTGGTACTTCATCTAAATCAACGAGTAGAGTTAGATTTGACATAAATGATTCTACTTATGTTGATGATACTCCTTATAATATTGATTCAAATGTTGAACTCGATCACGAAAG